GAAAGAAAGAAAGAAAGAAAGAAAGAAAGAAAGAAAGAAAGAAAGAGAAAGAAAGGAAGAAAGAGAAAGAAAGGGAAAAAAGAAACAGTGTGTAAATGAATTTAAGGTATTCCATTAATAATTTATATAGGGATGGGGAACCTGGGCAGTTCAGTTGGTTAAGTGTGTGACTTTGGTTCAGGTCATGATCTCGCGGGCTGTGGGTTCGAGCCCCGCGTCGGGCTCTGTGCTGACAGCTCGCAGCCTGGAGCCCACTTCAGATTCTGTGTCTCCCTCTCTCTCTCTGCCCCTCCCCCACTCATTCTCTCTCTCTCTCTCTCTCCCTCTCTCTCTCTCTCTCTCTCTCTCTCAAAACTGAATAAACATTAAAATTTTTTTAAAGATTTTTATATGGATTACATTTTGAAATAATAACATTTTGGTTATATTAAGTTAGGGAAAATATATCATTAAAATAATTTCATTGGTTTCTTCTTACTTTTTTAAAAGTAACTACTAGACAACTTAAAATTACATGTGTGGCTCTCTCTTAGTGTTCACATTATGCTCCTGCTGGACAGTGTTTCTCTAAGAAAACAAAAAGACATAATGTCATGATTTTAATTAGCTTGTCACAGGAAAACAATGTCATGCAGAAAGCGGGAAGTGAGGACATGGTATCCAAGACAGTGTCAAAAATGTACTAATGATGCAGAAAACAAACAAGCATGGGATGCTGGCAAAGTAATATTGTTATATGTGAGTTTCAAACCTTATACGGGTGTTAAAGATTCAGGACAGAAAACAACAGAATTTCTGAGAGATTTAATCTCAATTTCTACTACCATATGAGTATATAACTCCCTATGTAAGTATGATAAAACAGAGTAATCATGAAACATATGAAAATATACAGTGATTAAAAAGAGGAAAATATGGGGAAGGACCAAATCAAATGTCTTCTTATGAAATAAAAACCCTGCATTAAGTAACAAGGAGATTCAGTAGAACTCTGCATCTTATAGCTAGAAAATTCAGAGGCAAAGACAAAAAATCGACCAGGATAGATTGTATCAAGACAAAAATATTAAAAAATAGTATGCTAAGTACAATTGGAGGCAGGGATGAATTTATCAAGGAGCTAATAACACCTCAGCTTCAAGGATCCTTTATTGCCAAGGTTCTTTTCTAGGCTTTGAGAAATGTTTTGTAATTTTGTATTTGTGTCTTTATACTCACTTATATGTTAATTCCTTTCCTTAAAGCAGATCTCCAATTGTATAAATTTCAGGTTCCATAAAGTCTGTATCAGCTCCTGGTACCTTAAGGAACTGATAGTACACTGCAATAACTCATCCATATTCACCCACAAATAGTCACAAAACACCTGATTTGTGCCTGGCATTCTTGGCAAAGGTGGTGATCCCGTATATTGCTGGCCTTGCCCTCATGAAGCATACTTTCCATTTACATAAAGTAGATGATAGACACGTTATGATTGGTTAATATAGACCTAAAACAGTGAAAAAAAAGTATTATAAAGAATTTATCCACCCAATATATAGGCTTATTTCTTCTAATTGGTTGTGAAGATATAACCCATGAATAAGTTCACCATTCAGTTTCTCAGAGTAGACCAGATGATAATCTGAAACATGAATACCCTTAGTGATTTTCACCCTGTATATATAACTGCAAATACACATATGTATACACACATATGCATACTCATAAAGTATGCATTTTATTATGGGGTTATGGATATATATTTTTTTCTTCATTGGACTTTGCTATGTTTTCAATTTCTGGAGTAAATAGGTATTGCATTAAAAACAAATAATATAAATACTACTAAAACCCTGAGTTTTCCTTATAACAATTTTGGTTTCTTTTTCATTCTCAAAATCGACTGCAGAAGTATTGTAAATTTGTTAGTATTGCTTGCATTTGCATCTGCACCTAGGCAGAATTTCATAGATCATATCACAGTTTAGAAATTGCTAGAATTCAACAGTGATCTTCACATACACTAACAATTTCCTGGCTAACTGGGAACCATAGATGCTGAGGAGATAGGAAGGTGTTGCTTCTCATTTTTTGTTTCACTTGACTCTACTTGACTCTATAAATGGCTTCCTACCACACTTGTTGATCAAACTTTCTTTGTATTCACCTGAGGAAGGTAACATTATTTACTGTAGGAATGGGGCTTTTACAGAAAATGAATGGAAAAAATATAACTACAAATGTAGATGAGATGATGCACAAAAGCCGATGAGTAGGTAAGCACATACTTTGAATATGCTCATGTTATTAACTAAGTAGAATGAAAATAAGGGGTAGATTACTGACAGACTGAAGAAGCGATGAACACTTGCTTAATAACAGGTACCATGAAGCAATGGACAAATGCAAACATTGTTATACAATGAGTGATGGTAACAAAAGCAAACAATGCTTTGGGAATCATTTACATTCATTCTTTAGAATCAATGAATGAAGAAAACTGATATAAAAGTAACAATCAATTGAACTTGTGCTTGTTTGATTAAAAATCTTGGGGTGCCTGGGTGGCGCAGTCGGTTAAGCGTCCGACTTCAGCCAGGTCACGATCTCGCGGTCCGTGAGTTCGAGCCCCGCGTTGGGCTCTGGGCTGATGGCTCAGAGCCTAGAGCCTGTTTCCGATTCTGTGTCTCCCTCTCTCTCTGCCCCTCCCCCGTTCATGCTCTGTCTCTCTCTGTCCCAAAAATAAATAAACGTTGAAAAAAAAAATAGTTTTGGCACACTGACAGTGAACCACATTTTCAGGTATTTGTCTAATTTGAATGAAATTATTGCCATATCCAGAGCTCAGAGTCAATAAATTACGAATAGATACTGTGTGCTGCCACAAATATTCTTTCTCGTTGGCGAGTACTCTATGTCATCTGAATGGGGGTCACCAGGTAGCTTTATATAGTCAAAATTACCCCTCTTCGTAGCTTCCAAATAAACTGAGATTCTATTAGCAGAAATTCTTTCCTATGGAGTTAAGTATTCAAACACTAATATAAGGAAGAGGGCAAATATAAAACTTCTGTCCATATTTAACACATTATTAAATCACATCAGATACTTTCCAAATGGCAGATAGTCAAGAGCAACAAGTGACTTGGAATACAATTTACAATAGATAAAGTATTGAAGAGATCCAGAAATGCTTCCACATGATGCCAAGGGTGGGATAAAGGAAATACGGCGGGATAGGATGGGGACCTAACTGTATAAATGAGGATAATGGAAAGAGAAGAAAGTTTTATGAATGGAAAATAAACTTTATTATAGCTAGCAATAACTGAGATTGCTTAGTCTAATAACAGGTGACCTGAAATGGATGATTGATGAAGGCAGATATAAAGGACAGTCTGCTAGAAAATACAGTTGATTATTCATGGGTCCCACAAGGTGAATCTACAGGGAATATGAACAGGGTACATTAAGGTGTGTAAATCACAATATGTAAAACCTAGTCTAGGATTTGGAGCTTACCAGCCCCCTTCTTTATATATACACCATTTCTCCTTTTTCCCTAGACTTCACGCACACAGCTGCTCTGTCTGTGGGTAGAAGGAGAATGATTCTTCCTTCCTTTATTTCTGTCTGATTCAACGATTGTCATGAAAAATAGGATATCAAAACTGCCCATCTTCAGAGAAGAAAACAGCTAGAAGCATTAATTCAAGTGTGTTTCATGTTGGGTTCCAGAGAAGCAGATGCTGGGACAGAGTCTGGAATGCACGATGTTTCTTAGGAATCAGCAGCTGCCAGCAGAAGGTGAGCAAGTGGATCGAGCAGAGAAAAAAGTCAGAGTGCACCGTATGTCCAATAACTTTTCAGAGAACATGGGGAGGAACTCTGAAACACGAATCGCCCAGGAGATTGTCCCACATTAGGGTGAAATGGATGGGGCCTTTATGCCAGGGGTCAGCAACCTGTGACCAACCTGCCATCTATTTATGTGTGGCCTGTAAGCTAAAAACGGTTTTTGTATTTTGAAATTTTTGAAAAAAATCAAAAGAATAATAATATTTTGTGACATGTAAAATATATTCAATTCAGATTTCAGTGTCCACAAATACAATTTTATTGGGATACAGCCATATTCATCCCTAATTTTTTAACCCTGGCTGCATGGGAGCTATAACAGCAAAATTGAATGGTTGTGACAGAGACTCTATAGCCTACACAACCTAAAACATTCACTACATGCCTCTTTATAGAAAAAGTTTACAAAACCCTCCTTTGTTCCCCTGCCTTACTCAGTCAACTGTTGGGTGAGTTGGCCCTTTGCTGCTGAGGCAAACCCTTAGCTGACAGCCAAAATCTGTCTCTTGACCTCACATCAGAACTGAGCAGCTAACACCTTCCTTAAAAGGCTATGGTGACACATCCCTGTGTCTACCAAAAGGCTAATTTCAGCAGGTCACATGCTAAATGAAAGCTCTCTGAGCTGGAAATTGTCACATTTAAAATATAATTCTTTTTGCAGTTGCCTCAACATATTATGTAGGCAGAGATGTTAGGATATTAGGGGAAAAAAATTTCTCTCGTGGGGTTTCAGCAAATACATATAAGCTTCTCATGAATTGTTTTATTATTACACATGACCTTGTTGAAAAGAAGAGTGCTATAGGACTTCTCAACTATGAAGTATTTACTGTCATTATGTAAGAACTGGCCTTGTAATTTTTTCCTGAGCCTCCAAAATCATCCAATTGTTCCAGTTTTCCCTCCCAGATTATTGTTCCCCTTGTTCCTCTAGATATTTTCATGGATTCCATTCTAAAGCTTTTCCTATAATAGACTTTGCTTTTGTCATTATTTTCTCTGACAAACCAGATTCGGTTCTTTTTTTTCCCCTTAATTGGCTTTTTTTTTTTTTTTTTGGTCTAATTGCAGTACTTTTCATTCATTCTTACAAACACATGAGATTGAAAGTGGGTTTTCACTGTTGCTTTAATGGTGACTAATATGCAGTCATATAATAAGCATGGCCCATTTTAAGAATATTTTTGTTAAAGTCCCGATTAGCCCATTTGCAAATTGGCCAAAAGACCACATCTGGTTCAAAAGAACAGTTCTCATTTAAAGTCCTAAGATTTCAACATGTTAATCATACTATAATTCTTATTGAGAGGCCTTATCATAATTATGGGTATATTTTAATTTTATTTGCTCAGTTTCTTGATTTATTGCATTTCTTCTAGGAGAGCATGAATTCATACTGTCTTGCTTACCACAGTATACTTGGAAAACAATGGATATTCAAAAAATGTGTGTTGCATTAAAATAAGTTAGAGATATAATGTTAGGAGTCATTTGCTTATTGATAATATTTGAACCCTTGGAGTATATAAAATGACCTAAGGACTATGCTCACAATATAAGCTTGGGTCAAATAATATAAGACAACAATAACAGCGAAAAATTTAAAAAAGATACAGAAGGAACTTCCAGAGCAGAGAGGAAATAAGAAGAGTGCAACACAGAAAGGAAGGAAGGGTGTTTTAAGAAGTAAATGTTTGCACTGAATGCTACAGAGACTGAAAGTCACATGGGAATTAATATACTTCTGATTAATGTAATGATGTGAAAGATATTGGAATTTTTAGGGAGACTTGACTTAGGAAAGTGATGGGAACAGGAAACCAATTGGAGTGGGCTCCATCAAGTTGGCAGAGAAAGTGAGGGAATTGTTGCAGAATTGATTATACTTCTAAGGTGTATAGTTCTAAAGAGGTAAAGTTACTGTTGGTAGGCGGGGTAGGCATGACTGGTTAAAAGCCACATCTCGTGCAGCTTGCATGTACCTATTAGTGGCTTTTTACCTATTTAAACACATATATTTCACATAATCCCGCTAGTGCATTTGAGCAAGTATTAATGGATACTTACAATGAAATTTCCCATTCAGATATGTTACCTTCAACATTCCCTAGAAAGAGCAAATAATCAAACAAATGAAAACATTCACTTCTAGTTAGGCGTTAATTTACACTTGTTCTGAGAAAGTTCTTCTGTAAAGCTAATATCCACAGGGTATTTTATTTTATTTTTTTATTTTTTAACATATATTTATTTTTGAGAGAGACAGGGCACAAGTGTGGGGGGAGGGGGGCAGAGAGAGAGGGAGACACGGAATCCGAAGCAGGCTCCAGGCTGTGAGCTGCCAGCACAGAGCCTGACGCAGGGCTTGAACACACTGACCGCAAGCTCATGACCTGAGACGAAGTCAGATGCTTATCCAACAAAGCCACCCAGGGTCCCTCCACAGGGTATTTTAAAGAAGTACACAGTTCAAAAACATTTTTCCTACACTCTGAGAAGATACAGAATTAATCATTATTTTATTTTAATGAAAGAAATTATCTGAAGTATCTGAAACCAAGTTTTTATTTACAAGAAAATTGTCTTACTTTGCAGTAATGTCTTCTCGAAAGAGAAGGCAAAAATCATCTCATTGCTTCCCCTTAACATAATGACCAAGTTTCAGATAAACATTTGAAAGAGAATGCTATGTGACAGGTGTGTACATTTACAAATACACATACACACATACACACGCACATAATCTCAGCATGAATATTGGGGGTGAAGATTACTTCTAAATCAGGTAACAATAAGTTAGAGGATCCCACGGTTCTCCAATGTATATCTAGAGTTGAAATTTTGTTTTTTGACCAAACACAGCATGTTTCCTCAGATTATGAGAGGATTAGAAAGGAATCCCTCTGCAGTCTTAGAATAATTTCTCCTTGCAATATGTAATGGTTCTCTTCTTATACTCAATGGAATGTTCATTATGTATGGCTTGACTAAGTAAGTTATTGTTTAAACTGGACACATAGACAGTAAAGAGAAATAATGTTTCTATATATAGGTACATACACAATATACACATATAGTGTATATACATAGTGTTTATATATATATATATGTATATATATATAAATGTATATTTATATTTGTATCTAAACTATATTATATTCTATTATTATTTTATTATTTAATTGTAAATACTAGGAGGGTAGAATTTTGTCTTAGTGCTGATATTCTGTAATATTGTTCCTAAATTACTAGCAATTTTCTACCACTTTTCTTCTAAATTCTTCAAGATTATTAGGTATAACTCTACCCCATGAAACAAAAAGTACTGATTTTTTATGATGGGAATTCTTGAAAATTGGTAGCCATTTTAAAAAAGGCACAGAAATGGCATAACAGGATGAAAGAAAGAATATGGAAGAAAACAGAAAATAACTTGAGACAATGTTTGCCTATTACCCATTATACACATTACTAATTTTACTAATTAGTATTAGATATTTGAAAACCATGTGTATTCATACCACAAATGTGAAAGATGCTTGCTATGGTCTGAATATCTGTGTTCACCCAAAATTCATATGTTTAAAACCTAATGTCCAAGGGGATGGCATCATAGGTAAGGCCTCCATGAGGTGATTGGATCATGAAGGAAAGCCACATGAATAGAATTAGTGCCCTTAAAAAAAAAAAAAAAAAAAAAAAAAAAAAAACAAAACAAAGGATAGAGACTCCAGAGAGCTAGCTTGCCCCTTCCACCATGTAGGGACATATTGAGAGGATTGCAAACTAAAAGAGGGCCCTCATCTGACCGCGGTGATACCCCTGACCTCCCCATTCTAGTTTCCAGAACTGGGAGAAATAAATGTCTGGTGTTTATTAACCTCCCAGTCTACAGTATTGTCCTACAGCAGTCCAAAAGGACTAAGGCAATGTTGTAAGTGCAAAGACAAAGGAAATGCAATTTGGGTTCAGGATATTGATCCAGGATATAATTTTAAATTGTTTTTTTTTTTTAATTTTTTTTTTCAACGTTTATTTATTTTTGGGACAGAGAGAGACAGAGCATGAATGGGGGAGGGGCAGAGAGAGAGGGAGACACAGAATGTGAAACAGGCTCCAGGCTCTGAGCCATCAGCCCAGAGCCTGATGCGGGGCTCGAACTCACGGACCGCGAGATCGTAACCTGGCTGAAGTCGGACGCTTAACCGACTGCGCCACCCAGGCGCCCCTTAAATTGTTTCTTGAGGGAGGCAGCATGTGACCTGACAAAAAGGGTTCCACTGTCAAGTGAATCTGAAAAACCTTAAACACATATTCAGAAAGTAAGGTTTCTTTGTTTATTGTTTGGTTTCTCTCATAAATTTCTCAGAATCTTTAATTTTTACCTTAAATTATAAATCTCCAGATTTGGAGATGGAACATGGAATTTTTTTTTCCAAATTTAGTTGACTATAGAACATATTTTGAGAAAGTCGTCATTTAATGATTTGCTGTGTCCTAAGAACTCTCATCACGGGATTTCAGTCATTTGTCCAGACTCCAAAATTCCAACGGGGCTCCGGAAATCTGGATCACTCAGTTTCTGCCTATTTTCTTGGCTTTTGTTGATATGGAAAGCCTAACTCCTTCAATTTCTTAGTTTACAAGTTATTAAAATATGCAATTTTGTCCTTTCCTAGTCTTAAATCATGACTGAAAATATCCAGTCACAATTGATATTCTTCCTCAGTGATATCTACAACTAGAAAGAACACTCAATATTTTGACTATATTGTGTTAGCTTCTGAACAAAAAATACAGTATTTTCTTTTGTAGAGCTTGTAAATCATCATTGGTCTAACCTCAGAACATGCAATGCCCAAATAAAGCTTTTCAGAGGAGCTATTTGTTTATGTCTTATATTTTTATTGCTTGGCATTTTCCTAATCTCCTATGCTCTCTCTCATCCTGGAGGAAAGGCAAGGGTATGAGTGGGTGAAACTTTGTGTTAAGATGCTACAATATCTCTGGCCCTGCTTTGCAAAGTTTCCACGATATTGAAAGAGGAAACAGCTGGCCTTCACTGGTAATTAGTAAATAAAGACTTCCTTCCCAAGTATGAACTCTATTCATGGTGCTAAAATTGCTCTATTAGGGCAATGCATCAGAATCTATGGAGTTGCTAAAGCATTAATATTAATTTCTGCCTATTCCAAGATTATTTTCATCACAAAGGAGTCTGGCATTCCACAAAGAGTTCTGCTTCCTGGGCTATAAGGCTGTCCAGCACTCCTCAAAGTCTTAGCATCATGGGCTGCAAAAACGGATCAAGTTCTCCCTAAGTTAAGTGTCTGTCATCATGGCTTCACCCAGAGGATTTCAATTGTCAGTTATTCTGCGGAAATGTTCAAATCTCCCCTGCTGCACCTCCCCATTGTTTCAGGACCTCACACCTCATTCTGTGATGTAGCTGGTCTTCCTGCCTCTGGACTTCTTCCCCTCAGATTCAATCTTTACACTGCAGCAAAGTTATGAGGAAAGACCTAATCATTTAACTCTCCCACTTAACTAGGGTGGCTATTATCTGTAAGGCAACTATTCATCAAAGCTCTGCTTATCTCTTATCTCTCCAACTTCACTTAGGCTTTTATTTCCTTGCTGTTAGAAAACTTTTACTCCAAACCCAATTCAGAAATCTTTGTGTTCTTTTATTCATTATTTATTCAGCCCAAAATTCTGAATTTATATTATGTACCTTTATGCATTTATTCAATCAATGAATGCTCATTAAACATCTCTTTTGTGCCAGATACTTTTCAAAACACTAGGGATACATCAGGGAACAAAAGGGAAAAATCCTCTGGCTTCATAGAGTTAATATATAAAATACATAAGTGACATACATCATATAGTACAAGGTAATATGTTGTGTAGATGAAAGGCAAGGGAAGGGACTAGAAAGTACCAGAAAGTGTATAAAGGGTTGGTTTAATTTTAAATAAAGTGGTTAGGATAAGCTTCCCTAAGAATCTAATATTTCAGCAAGTACAAGCAGGGTGTGTGTGTGTCTGTGTGTGTGTGCGCGTGAGTGTGTGTGTGTGTGCGCGCGTGTGTGCGTGTGTGGCGAGGTGAGAGGAGAGGTGAGGGGGAGTGGGAATAACTTGAAGCTGAAGTAGCACTTCAGGGACAAGCCTTTGGGGTAGATGGAAAAGGCAATGCAAAAAAGGTCTCTCATGGGAGGAAGCCTAGTTTGTTTGAAGAACAATAGGAAGATCAGTACCATTAGAGTAGAACAAACAAACAAGGATACAGACAGGAAATAAGATCCATGAATTAAAGAGGATCCAGATGATATACCATCATGTAGGCCATTAAAAGACATTGGCTTTTACTCTGAAAAAGACTGAAAAGTACACCCATGAGATTTTTGAGCAGCAGTGAAAAACTTTTTCCCTATATACTTCCCTTTCCTTTTTACACCTAATACTTTGGGTATTCATTAGCTGAAGATGCCTGTTTCTTTAGACTGGGTTTCTTGAAGAAAGAGACTCAATGACACATAGTAGGAATTCCGTAAAGAATTTACTGAATGGCTCTATCAATCAACATATTTTTATTAAGGGAGATTTAAGATTTAATTACTCAAAAGCATCAAGTGAAACTCTAATTGGAAACCTAAAAATCAACTGGATGAGGACAAACTGTTAGCATTTTACTTAGTTCATTTATCTGCATGTCCTCCAGATAACATATTCTGTTAGGATTAATCACAAAATCCAAAGCAGTCTGCATTGAATCAAGTACCTTTAAAATAGTTTGTTAAGAAATCCAATGATATTTTTGGTTACTAATTATTATAACCTCACAAATATGACCAAAACACATTATCTAATATTTTGACCTGTAAACATAATATTGCCATTTTAGAAATACTCAGGGGGAATCCACAGTTAAACTAATTTATTTTTCACATGTCCTATTGTAACTAACAGCTTATGAGTCAGTTGCTTGATAGCACAAAAAAATCTATTTGTAAGTCTGAACATTTTTCATTTTTATGTTTTAATTGAAAAACAAAAAGAAAAGAAATGAGAAGCATTCCTTCCTCAGGATTGAAAATAATGAAGTGTTTAAAATAACATTTAGTTATTAGCTTGGGGGTGACCAGTTCTGATGACATGTTCTAATCATTTTTTGTTCACTGATATAGATGTCTGTGATACCTAACTTTTGCACTTGGATTTCTCCCTTGATTGGATCACATCTTAACAATGAAATTTGTAGCAAGAGAATATATGCTATGTTCTCATTGATCCTAATCAAATCCACAGTCAACACGTGAGAATGAGAATTGTTAATAGCACTGAAAGTACAATAGTAAACAAAATAGACATACTTCTCTGGCTTCATACAGTTTGCTTTCTAGTGGAAGGAAATATGTAAGTTAATTATAGTATGTTAGTTTGTTAGTATGCTGTTAATGATGGAATTTTAGTGAAGGCAGATCCAGAAATTGTTTGCTCTGATAAGAACTGCTAAAGAGCTATGGCTTGGATTTTAAAAATGGCCCAGGGTCTTTCCTTAGCTTGGGTTCTCCTGCAAATAGAGTCTGAAGCAAGGCTTATGTGCACTAATGTATTAGAAAGTGTAATTCTTGGGAGGAGAAGAGAGAACATCAGAATGAATTAGGGAAGGAAAGAGAAACCTAATGTGGGGGTATATTTCTTGACTGGCTATTGTGTGACATCAAGAACAATGGATTTCTCCCTCTCATGAAATCATCTTCTAAGAGGCTATTTAAATGACTGTTAACTGGACAGTCCCTCCTGTCCAGGAGAAAGAGAAGAAAGGAGGAAGAATGGGTCCAGTGGCTTCCATATTCAACTGGGCAAAGTTTTGCCCCAAGGTTGATTTGGTATTAACAGGGAAGCTCTAGAACAGGAGACGAGAAGTTCACAAGGGTGTGAGGCAAGGCTTTGTCATGTGCATCTGCATGAGGACAGTGGGAACTATATAAAAGTAGTCACTAGAATAACTGAATCAACACAGGTGAACCCAAGAAGGTCTGAGTTAGTGCTTAAGAGGTTTCCGTGATAGCCTTCACCTGTACTTTAACTAGAGCAAAAGATTTTACATATTTGAGTTTTCTGTAAGTTTTATCAATCAAAATTTAAAACCCTGATCTGTCTCAAACTTCAATTATTTGCAGATGAAGAAACTGAGATCTAGAAGAGTAAACTGACTTGCGATCATCTAGGTCAATGGATGTGAGTACTGAGTTCTCCTGAAGAGTTTATAGATTGGTGTTTAGTGACAATGTATCCTTCATAAGGTTTCTGTTGCTTCAACAGGTTGCATGTATTCTACAAGACCCCCAGATCATATATAAAAAAGGAGTTTCAATATATATCTGATGCCTCAAAGACATCTGAACTCTAAGATTCCATTTTGATTCACATGATTCCTAGCATAGGCACTGTGCAAATAGGAATGCTAACATTAGCTGTGATTAAAATTTCCAGATTGAAGGATTTTAATTGTGTTGGAAGCACCAAATTGATCCTTTTCACCAAAACAAGGTATTTTCTATTATTGCCATCTAGATATGAGCTCTCTTCATTACATTTTGTTTGCATGTCTCTTTTGGCCTTTAGTTAATGAAAAATACTCATTTTTAAGTTGCTTTATCCCTCTTACCAACTTGTAAGCACTTGTATGCTGTTATTAAAGTACGGGATTTGGTAATATATGATACAAGCTTATGTCTCCACACACTATTCATACAACCTATCTAAATAGATTAAGTCACCTCGTTTTTCTAAAGCTCATTCTCTTTATCTAGAAACTTGTAAAATGCCCTCAACAGAAGGCCCTTATGCAGATGTCACTAAACTACAGAAAACATTTGTAATATGCTTTTCAGATATTAAGTTGCAATGATTACTTACCCTGAATAATATTCCATATAATGATTTTGTTTTGTTTTGTTTTTTGTTAAATTGACAAAATATTTAAATTTTTTTTTCAACGTTTATTTATTTTTGGGACAGAGAGAGACAGAGCATGAACGGGGGAGGGGCAGAGAGAGAGGGAGACACAGAATCGGAAACAGGCTCCAGGCTCTGAGCCATCAGCCCAGAGCCCGACGCAGGGCTCGAACTCACGGACCGCGAGATCGTAACCTGGCTGAAGTCGGACGCCTAACCGACTGCGCCACCCAGGCGCCCCGACAAAATATTTAAATAAAAATAGTGAGATGAGACATTAGTTTCTGGATCAGTTATTGATTGAAATTTGATTTGGCCAAAATGGGATAAAGTCTAAATTTAAAATTTCAGAAATACATGCAAAATTCATCTATAGTCCTGACTTTCAATATAAAGTCCTTGAATATAATTTAGTGATAAGGCTTTATATTTTGGTAGTCGCTCTAGAAATTTTACTTATAGAATTAAATATTTTTAAGTTAATGTTACTTAAGTTATATTTAAGTTCAGTTATAAAGTCATGATAACAATGTCTATTCACAAAATATCTGCAAATTGTTTGACATGAAAGTAAACATTATATGGACAATTTAAAATCATTTTTTTCCCAAATAAATGGCACCAGGGTCTTATTTCTATGTAAAATCATGTTTTACACATGCCTACTTCTTTCTCACCCAATTCAATGCCTGAATTAGTTTTGGTCACATGAAAAACATACAAATACTTTCATCATCTCTGAAAACGGGAAGAACTAATGTAAATTTGTTTATCAATACACAAGTAGAGGTTAGATGACACAAGGAGATGAGCAAGCAGCTTTGATATTAATAGAGGCATGTTCATACAAAGATTTCTGGAATCGATTACTATTCTGAAAGGACCCGTGAAGGTGAAGGATGGATTGTCAACATTGAGTCACAATTCAATCGTTCTTTGTCTTCAATGATATTGCTTAGATTACTTAATCTCTGAGTCATAGTCACCTCATTTATGAGATTAAATGAATCAGTAAATGTAAAAAAAACTTCATAAACTGGACTATACTATGCAAATGTTAGAAGTATATTCAGTAAAATTCACACTGCCTGCATTACAGGGGAACACACGTGTTCAAAAGAAGGAATAGGTAAAATCTAAAAGAAAATGTACATACAGAAAAGCAATAAAGAGTTAACAAAAGGAGAAAGAATAGTAAATGATTATAATCTTGAAGATTTGTTTTAAATAGAACTGTATTTTCTTGTTTTTCTTAACAGTATATTCTGATATACTACGTGAATGTTTCTTTGCTAATAGTTAATCTGTACTGAAAGGCAAATGAAATGTTCACCAGATTATACTCTCTTCCTTCTGCCTTTTTATAGGTTTTGTCTCTTGGTAGACTACATATTTTCCGTTATCATTTGTCAATGAACTAGAGATATGAGAAAAAAGTGACAGTCTTAAATCTGAACTGTTGATGGATGGACCAGACACCAAAACTTTCACATCTGGTTGGTAGGATAATATACAGAGAATGGCTAGGGTAATACCACAGAAATGGTATTTTGGCAATTTGGGAAAAGTTGCACAGTGGGTTTAAAACCAACTACATCTTGGAATCATTGTCATTTATTAGCTTGAACATTACTAACTGAATAGTAGGAATTTACTGAACATCAAATACCTGAAAAATATCAGACATTAAAAATAGAGGTAAATATAATCAAGGTCTCTGCCTGATAGAATTTCTAGCCTAGAATCAAGCACAGAAAAATAGACCCGTGATCACAATATTAGGTGATAAATGCCATAAGAGATTTATCATATGGGTTAATTTACCAAAAATACACACACACATACATACATACATACATACATACATACATACATACATAAAAATAAAATGAAAAAATAAAATAATATTTAACCAAATAAGTACACTGTATCTGCTATGTTTAAACTTTTCATGATACCCTTAGATATGTATATAAATAGTGCCCATAAGACTATTTGATACTAAGATTAGCTGTTGATGATACTGCTACATAGCTACCTGGGGAATTTTGATGAGTAACTATACAGATAGGTATAATTGTGTTAAAAATATTTGGGAAAGGAAGGTGGGTTCAAGGAAAATAAACTCATGAGGCATAAAGTCTAATTGTTCTCATTCCCATGTCTCTCCCACCCCACCACCCTGCAAACAAGATGGATACTGGTGTGTGTGTGTGTGTGTGTGTGTGTGTGTGTGTGTGTGTGTGTGTCTGCATATTACACAGTATGTAGGTAAGAACTATTTTCCGACCACTAAATTCATACGTCTGTCTCAGCCCACTCTTTTTCCTCCTTCCTATTCTAAGTGATGACAGGCCCTGTCTGGTCTTATCGCTCCAGATGTGTTTTGCAAGCCATCCCTTCTCATTTTTTACAGTATTTATTTTTGATTATCTCCTCTGTCTCTTAAATAAAGTGTGGGCAATTTTTTAGAGGGTCAGATATAAATGTTGTAGGCTTTGTGGGCCATCAGACATGGTGCAATAGCTCTGTTGCAGCCATCCAACTCTGCTAAGGTGGCATTAAAGCAACCACAGACTATGTGTAAATAAATTAGTTTAGCTCAATTACAATAAAAGTTTATTTACAAAAGCAGATGGTTTTTTTAAAACAGATGGTTTTGGTTATCAATTTTTCTGACAGAAAAGTACTCCAGAAAGATAGGGTCTGGATCTTGACCTTGGGTAGTAGTTGCCTGACCCCTAACTTATATGATATATTTCTCCTTCTATTGGGTTATTTTTACCTGAACTCAAATTTATTCTAATATTACCCATCATAAAGGGCAGTTTTTAACAAAAATGTCCATGTAGCCTTTCTCTAATATTTAGAAGCTGTAAATCAAGCTTAATAAAAAGGACAAGCCTGTTAAATAAGTAACTGTCCTCTAATTTTGACAAATATAGCTTCATAAAACCTTGAAGGCCAAATCTGAAATAAGAATTTTTGACCTTCTTGAAGTTCCACTTCAGATATGATGGTACAAAGACTAAATGTCATTCCTACTTTCAGTTTTCACTCCTTCCCTTTCTTCCTGAAGGACATAGTTTATCCATTCCTCCTACCTAGCAGGGTGGGATTTGCTCTCATGAGGATCAAACTTGTAGATGAATTTCCTGCAAGTTCTGGAGCAGATCTGGGGCCATATAACTATAGAAATCCAGAGTCCCAGGTAACCGGTGTGTGATCAAAGAAGGATGGCATGATGCCTGGATGCACATATCCTGTTGGCTACCTGGTCTCCTTACACTGTAGGGAAAGGTAAGGCTGGAGAAGGGCCAAAGTTGGACCCACTAAAGCACAAAGTCCAAAACAGAGACCCTCTTGCTGAGGTTTAGATGTAGATATAATTAGTTAATATGAGATCATATTGTAGAATCGTGGGCCCTTAATCCAATATAACTGGTATCTTTTTTTTTAATTAAAAAAAAATTAACGTTTATCTATTTTTGAGACAAAGAGAGACAGAGCATGAACGGGGGAGGGTCAGAGAGTGGGAGACACAGAATCTGAAACAGGCGCCAGGCTCTGAGCTGTCAGCACAGAGCCCGACGCGGGGCTCGAACTCACGGACCGCGAGATCATGACCTGGGCCGAAGTCGGCCGCTTAACCGACTGAGCCACCCAGGCGCCCCAACTGGTATCTTTATAAAAAGGGGAAATTGGGCACAGACACGCACACAAAGAGCAAGCAGTGCAAAGATGAAGGTAGAGTTGGGGGGTGATGCTTCTAACGGCCATAGCATGCCAAAGATTACCAGAAAACTGCCAGAAGCCAGGTGAGAGTCATGGAACAAATTCTCTCTCACAGCCCTCAAAAGGAAATAACACTGCTGACACCATGACCTTGGACTATTAGCCTCCAGCAGAACTGTGAGATAATAAATCTGTTATTTAAGTTACTCATTTTTTGGTACTTTGTCATGGTGGCCTTAATAAACTAATTTATCTCCTTAAAGAGACTTCCTTGTTAAGTGTTTCTAAATGGTTACCTTCCATTTAGTTTTAATCATTGTACTCTACTTTTTTTCCTTGGAAATGTCACAAATTATAATTATTTATGTCTTATATATTCATTTGTTAATATGTGTCTCTATTACTGTATTGTATTTGTATAGGATACACAGTTACACACTGTAATTGCATTTGAGCCGGGTCTGTCTGTTTAATCACCACTTCCTTAAAACAATTATGGGCATAGCACAGAATGTGCTCAATATATATTTTATGAAGAAATGGAAGGAAGAGAGAAATGAATGAACAAAGGAAGGAAAAGGGAACAATCTAAAAACTCTAGTAATTCTTTTTGCCTTGGCAATATTTATATATCACCATCCATTTCTCCTTAGTATTTAATATATCATCCTATACCCCTGAATATGTCTATATTAACCAAATGCTCAAAGCAAT